AACCAGTCAATGACCAGCCGAGGGCTGCTAGTCCCTACTGTATCTAGTAGTAACGCCGGTAAAGGTGCTATTTCTCAGTAAGCAGCGCCAGCCTCTCAGTTATCGGCGCCAGCTTATCATTAATCAGGTTGGTAGTTTGCTTCAGAGTTTATATAGCCTCCTGCTGCTGGGCAACAGTCTTAATTTTGGCCCCCACAGCGCGCCATATCAAATAATATATAAATGTTTGATGCCTTCAGTCAGTCCTAAGCAGCTGTTTACTGCTGGCTTTGCTCCTCACTCACCTCTCGGATCTCCTTGATCTTAGAGCCTCCTTTTCCAATCAGTGAGCCACACTGGCTGGCTGGGATGACGAGTCGGAGTGTGACAGGAGGTTTGCTGTTCATCGCACCGTTGGCTACCAAGGCTGCCAGGTCCTGAAAGAAGGGGGAAAAGCGGGTGGGGTGGTGGACCAGTTTATTTTCCCACATGAAGCTTTTCCTCATCAGTCGTTTTATCAGCAGGAAGACTGCATTCCACCTGTCAGTCTCCTAACTAATAAATATTTTTCTCCTGGTCTGGGCCTCTAATTTCCCTCTGGGATTAATAAAGTATTTTTGAATTACTGTAAACTGAATTGAAGGAGCAGGAACCATTAAGATGTGACTTAAAGACAAAGTTCATTTGTGTTTCCAACACATCTACAATGGTCTCCATTATGAATCAGTACAAGTCAATCTCTGAGGGAAAAAGGCTCTGGTGCTGTTTCAGGAACTAGAAGTGAACCAGATCAGAGCTGAGCTTCAGACCACAGGAAGTCTTACTTCCTGACATTTGGACATCTCTCCTCCGATTGGCTAAAAGCAACAACACTCTTCCTCTGACTGTGTCTTTGTAACGTTGATGTTTTATCTCCACTAATAACACAAGCCTGGAGGAGTTCTGTTGTGTGGTGCAGTTGCTAATGCTAATGGTTAACGTCTACTAGCCAACTGCCTCACATTTTAATCACAATTTTTACTTTTACCAACTTTATATTTCTTTAATCATTTTTGTTTAGTTTTTGTTCTTGTGAAGTTCCTGATTTTTATCTTTGAAAGAGTTTCTTCTTTTTCAAATCCTTCTCTGTCGAACGCTAACTTGACTTTATGATGTGCTAATGTATTAGCACATAAGAAAGAGTAAAAATACTTGATTATTTTTAATCAAGTACAAGTAAAACATATCATAATCAAAATGTACTCAAAGTAAATGTCACTTAGCTGGACCATAAAGATGGCACACACACACACACACACACACACACACACACACACACACACACACACACACACACACACACACACACACACACACACACACACACACACACACACACACACACACACACACACACACGAGCTGAAGCGCTCGTTGAAAATTCGCCTGATGTGAACAGAGGAGGACAGTGAATGAATCTTGTGAGCTCGTGCTTTTCGGCGATTTGCATCCGGTGTGTTCTGGGAGTAATATTCCGAGTTACTGAATTTGGGATTTTCATTGGTTGTCTGTTATAATCATTTACGTTAACAAAATAAGCACCTGAAATCTCTCAGTCAGTGTGTAATGAATGAACCTAATGAAATAAATCATGTGATGATATTCTGATTTCATAGCCAGTAGCTGTACATTACACCAAACGGTGTTGCAGTGAACTTGCTCTTTAACAGTAACCCTGCAGCTGATGTTTACAGTCACAGCTGGTGTGGAGGTGTGAAAGCTTCATGTGCTCATCCAGGAGGAAGAATAACGGGCAGAAATCAGAGGACATAATAAAACCACCAGCAGGAAGTCCAGTCATGAGACAGAGCTCTTTCATCAAACCAGAGAAAACATCAGAACCAAGAACCCAGTCGACTCCCAGCTTCTTCCTGGTTTACGTTTCAGCTTCGTGATCAGACGATAGGAGGTGGCTCAGGTGTGTGTGTGTGTGTGTGTGTTTATTCCACACACCTCAGTCTGACAGCAGCCCACATCAGGACGTGCTGATATTTACATTTCAGCTGTAGCGAGGCACCCAGGCCAGCTCTGACTAATTGATTGAACCAATCCCATTAAGAGCTGCTGATTATTTATTAGTTATTTAAAGGAGGAGGAGCAGCAGGATCAGCTTGGTAAGAGGAAGGGAGGTGCTGAGCAAGAAAATAAGAAATGCAACTAAAAGAGACAACAGGAGAGAAACCAAACATCCACCAAGTAGATCCAGCCTCAAGCTGCAACGTTAGGAATGTCCCAAAGAACAAACGGAATAACGCAAGTTTCTCATTTCTGAGGAACGTCAAAAAATGAAAAACCCTAACCCAGAAGAACCTGCAGACATGCAGACTCACCTCAGCTGCTCCACTCGACTAGAACGTATCAGGTTAAAGGGGACTTAGACCACACCTTTGGTGCTGCCGTGTGGGCGGAGCCTGAAACAGGTGAGGCTGGTCTGGCTTTCATCACAGCTACACTTATAAATAAAACCCAGGAAAGAACATGGTCTGATGTTTAAAGAATGTGTTTGTTTAATGGTGCAGAAACATTTATGACCTACGAACAAGCAAGAGCTCTGGCCTCACACACCTGTTACTTCTTCTTCTACCCTCCACTCATTACCTGTATTAGCGGCACCTGGTTAAACTCGTTATCTCTATGGAACCACACCTGTTCACACCTTCAGCAGTCAGACTCCAACCTCCATCATGACCAAGACCAAAGAGGTCTCCAGGGGCACCAGGGACAACACTGGGATGAGACCAGGACCCAGCTCAGATCCTTGGGGTGCACCACAGCAGAACCTCTCAGACAGAACTGAGCCTTGAGACCAGTCTCGTGTTTATGTCCAAAACATTTGAAACAAGCTGAGCAGATAAAAACACGTCTAATCAACGAGTCAGTCAGGCCCGACAGAGATCCGGGTCCAAAAGCTTCATGATTTCATGGATTTCCCAGAACCATTAAAAATAGTCCAGGGACAGATTTGAGCTGCTCCAGTGGAGCCTCAGAACCTCATCAGGTCCCACCTGTGTCAGACATGGATGAAAGACTCCTCCCACCACGACAGGAGCAGATGAGTGAAGGTTGGAGTGGTGACAGGAGTCACAGACTTGGACCAGAACAAACGGTCGTGTTCTGCATCAGAATGAAGACTGATGGACAGTTCGGTCTGCTTGATCAGCACTAACCTTTCACCACTGGGCCTCGCCTTGACATGGCATGCCCCTCAAGAGGAAACTCCACATGAAAATGGATGGATTCCCTCAGAAGGACTGGATCAGAACAGCTGGACGTTTTCAGTCTGATATAATAAGGATATATGAAAACCAGAAAACAAACCGGCCTGAGACCAGAGCTTCAGTTTGAAGGAGATATCGACCTCCAGCTGGGAGAACGGGTCAGAACAGACAATCTGCTGGATTCGGTACCTCAGTCTGACTGGACCAGTGCAACTGCAGCACGGTCCTGTAGCAAAGCTTTATGAATGGTGCTGATTCTGCAGATTCACCATTCCAGAGCCCCTGATCCAGTCCAGAACCCCTGATCCAGTCCTGAGTTTGTTTATTGTATGTGTTTATTTATATGGCAGACGCTTGTATCCAAAGTGACGTACATCAGTTAGCCTACAGGGCGTGTTGTGATCTATGGGGGAACTGGAGTACCGGAGGAAACCCACGCATGCATGAGAACATGCAACTCCAGTGTGATTAGCGTGTGTTTTACGTGTGTTTAGCATTCATTGTGCATGTTTAGCACATACCTCCTCCAGTTTGAAGGTGATCATGGTGAAGGCTCTGAACACAGATTCCGTCTGGCCCGTGATGGTGATGATCCTCTCAGGACACGACCCCTCAGATATGTTGATCCTAGCACTGCTCTGTGGGGCCAGGAGGGTGTGTGTGTGTGTGTGAGGAGGAGGGGGGGGGGGGGGGGGATTTTTGCAGGGAGAGGTGGGAATGGACACAAGGAGGTGAAGGAAGGGACAGGTGGGGAGAACAGTCATGTGAAGGTCAGGAACGGAAGGAGGTTGAGAGCAGAGGTGAGCAACGGAGCAACGGTGGTGGTGGGGTTAATGGAGAAGGGAGGGTATGAGGCAGGGGGTGGAGGAGGATGAGGAGAGAGAGAACACATTAGTGGGAGGAAGGTATCTGTGGGCCGAGACAGAAGAGGAGGAGATGCCACACAGCTCTTTCCTCCCTCCCTGAAGGAGCTCCACCTGGGATGGAGGAGGAGAAAGGATGCTTCTGAGGAGGCTTGAGGAGAGGAGCGAGGAAGGCAAGATAGGGTAACAGGAGCATATGCAAAATGGAGGAGAAGAAACGATGGATTCCAGCCCAGAAAATGGAGAGGAGAATATTATTAAGGAGGAGGAAGAAGGGTTGGAGCTGGATGAGGACAGGAGAGTGAGGGAGAGGATCGGGGGAGAGGAGAGAGGAGAGAGGAGAGAGAGAGAGAGAGACAAAGCATTGCAAACATTTGAGGAGAAATAAGAAGTGAAAGGAGCAGTCACAAGTGATGAAGATGGAGCAGGAAACAGCAGCTATGTTCATCCGAGAACACTTTGTTTCAACCAGAAGAACATTTTACATCCTGTGATATATAAGCCCGAGGTGATTTCACAGCATGTTACAGAAGTCAGCCCCGAGCCACCTGGAGGTCTCCTGCTCCCTCCTCCTCTCACTAGTGAACAACAACCTGAGATCTTTACCTTCCCTACCTCAGGAGCAGCTTCAGACGCTGCAGTTTCACAGAAACCAAAGGACCATCTCCAACTCAGAGATGATTAGAGTCTTCATTCAGCTAGAAGAGACTTCACGCACGTGTAAAAGTGTGTGTGTGTGTGTGTGTGTGTGTGTATTTGTCTCTATGGAAATGGAAATATTTCTCCTACTTTTGACATTATGTATTATCACCATAGAAAACTAACAGCTCCATCTTCTCTGTAGGCTCCATCCATCCATCCATGTTTTCTATAACCATCACCATTAAGCCTCATTTGTTTATGAACCTCATCCTTTCACTCCTCCTGCTGCTGTTGCATTTCTCCTTTACCTCCTTTCCTAGGTCTAAACCAGGCCTTGGATGGAGTTTATAATCAGAGGAGTGAGAAGACCAGAAGGGTTCCTTCAGCACATTAAACAGTCACCAGGGTCAGACAGTACTGATGATCGTGCCTCTTGTTTGCAGTTCCAGGTTTCTGTAGATGCTTTCAGACATGCCTCCGCCCGTTTGGACCACGTTGGTGCTGCAGCGGGCGGAGCTACAGGAACCTTGATGGAGACATTATTATTTATCTTCCTGACAGCAGAGCCTCTCTTCTGATTGGTTGGGATTTACTCGCTCCATGTTGCTGTAATGAGAGCAGCAGCTCGTCATCCTGCCGCTCCAGCGTTGGCTGGCTGTCTTCTTTAGTCTTCATTTGGAGGAAAGAATGGATGGACGGCTGTGCCGGCTGGATTCCTCTGTTCTGCTTTATTAGGAAGCTATGCTGCCAGTGCATGTGTGTGTGTGTGAGTGAGACAGAGAGAGATGTTTGTGCAGCTAAAATGAAGCTTGACACTACAGCTGGGGAACACAAAAGCCAGATATGCTGCACCACAGAAGCGCCGTGGTTCTGGGAAATCAAAGGGTCCCGACTTGCTAGGCCGCTGAGCGTTTCTTGGAAAATTGAGCGATAGTCACATCATCATGCGAGACTTGAGAACAGGAAGCGGAAAGGGACTCTTTTGTTTATATGCCCACCACCAAGGTTTTCTGAAAGGGTGGGTAGTCTGAACCGTAGTTTGGTGCATAAGCACAGACCACAGTGTGGCGTCATGAATGTCCTGTTTTTGACCTAAAGGTCATGATCTGCTGCGTCTGCTCGAGCAGAGACACAAAGTCTCTGACAGGCTAATCTACATGAGATAGTGGCCAAGGTCTTTCATGCACTCTGCTCATCTGAACTGCTTCACCTCTGGACAGCTCAAGACGAAGACGAAGGACTCTTTTGATGAATACATAATCAACAACTTTGTTATTACCAATAATAATGTGAGCCCAATGTTCAATCAATCTGTGAAATGACAATGTTATTACTTGATATTATAATCCTGTCATCAGTAGTATTTCACAAGTAATTATAATCCTGGACATTTGCACTAGACACTAATGACACGTAATGCTAAAGTCACACGACACATTTCCTTTTGTCTGATCCAATCAGAACCTTTGTTTCTGCCTAGGCGTGGTTTTCTGTGGTGTTTGTATAAACCCTCTTTTGCTGTCAAATTCTGATTTGCCAGTAAACCAAAACATGACAATTACAGAAACTATTCCACGCCACCTTTTCTTGAGTTCAAAGCGTTCTAGAGAAGTCTGGGACAGGCCATCCAGACTTCCTCTTCAGCCAAAAAGAACCTCGACAAGCTGGATAAATCTGTTGCAAGTTACACCTGACCGCAACGGTTCCTTCAGAATAAAAGCTGAACCTCACGACCCCTTCAGGATCTCGGAGACGCCAGTGATAACCTGTCGTGACCTGGAAGCATTCCAAGACTAGTTTGGTTGGCACCGCTGCTTTTCTACCAACTTGGTACCAAGGAGGGTCCAAGAGAATCTCAGCATTCTGGATCTAACGGAGGCTTCCTCTGGGTACGTAGACCGACAGATGGCGTTTCATGTGTGTTATAAATCTCCTACTAAAGTTTAGAGCGAAACATTCACTCCCACTCTGAACTAACTGCTTCTCCGGATCCACTGGTTCTGAATAACATCACACACACACCATCATCATTCATCACGTCTCACTCCACCTTAGTTCCATCAGTACACAGAGTGTTTAAGTTAGTCTTGTTTAAATTGTGTGGAAATAAATTTCTTAACTATTTTAAACCTGACTCTCTCTCTTCCCTTGGAGTTGGTACGAAGTAATCATTTTGTAGCGTCACCAAATGGACTGATTTTGAAATCCCACAGTTCATAAGCACGGCCAGAGTAAATGACCCTGGCTACACACGTTCTGCTGTATTTTACCCTGACAGGAGATGGAATGTCTGCATGCAGGCTCTTTAATCAGATGACTTCATCAGCTGAACTGAAGCTTCTTCATCAGATAATAAAGATGAACAGTAGCATTCCTTTCCCCAAGGTTCCTCACAAGAGAACTCCTAAAATGAACTTTTACTCCCAGAAGAACAGAAGATTTCATAATATAAGTAATCATTTTATATTTCAGAATAATCCTTGAAGAAAAGAAGATCTTACAATTAATAATCACTAAATACTGCCATGTATGATTATAAATGATAAAATGCTTCACAAATGTGTTCACTGATGCTAAGATTGTTTACTGGATTAGATCACTCACACCAGACAAGAAGTAAGGCTAAATTAAGAAGCATTACACATAAACTAACCTCGTTTCGCAGACTCAGCGGCTCTGCATCACAGGGTGTGCGTTCTGAGAATTCTTGATAACTTTGGTAATAGATAAACAGCGGGCTATAAAAGCAGCCTGCTTCCACTCTGAGACAAGTTCAAACCTCCAACAGAACGAGGGTTGGAGAGCAAAGCTTTAAGACTGGCCATCTTAATCTGAGCTACCCAGGGATTTTGACACACTGTCAAAACCTTAAGCTTTTGCACCTGCAAAGCTGAGGACAACAAGATATTTCCTGCAGAACAAAGCTGATTTTGCGACACTCCTTCAGAGTTGTTTTGAGACGCTTGGTTCCATCCAGTCCACCTGTGTTACCTGGAAGCGATCCTGGACCGACCTGGTCGTACTAGGAGTTAGTCTACGGACTTCTGTACTCGGGGTCTCCAACCCCCTGACATTTCGGATCTGCAAGGGCATCTCCACTTGGGTACGTAGAACACAGTGAGATAGCGTCTGTATGCAGTTTGATAAATAACAGCTTGTAGCTTACTTACAAACCAAATTTCCTCCGCCCGGGAGCTTTGTCATGATACCGACTCTGAAATACTAGATTCACACCTAGTTCCAGACACCCATCTCTTAGTTCGCATCCACTCACAGTAAATGATAGTTTAAACCATTTGTCAAGTCTTAAATTGTTTGTAAAATAAATTATTTATTTGCAAACCTGACTGGTTCTTGAATCCTAAACGAAGTGATGACAGTCCCTGAATAAACAAAGAGTCTTAGAATCTTCTGCCTAATCATCTTAAAGACCAAGCAGGTGATATTCTATAATTAATAGGTTATCACAGCTATGGGTCACAAGTAATGACAATAAAAATAAATAGCTCTTAAGCAATTTATTTAATCCAATGTACCCTCTTATTGACTTCATTACAGCTTAATCCCTGCAATAAAAAGTTCAGATCTTCTGGTTAAAATCGTCAAAGATCCATCCGATTGATATTTCATATTTCTATGGAATCTCACATTTTATGGTTCATAAGTAAGATGTAAACAACCCATTCTTTACAACATTCACATACAGGCAGAGGGAGGCTACCCTCTCGTTCACCGGGGTAAACCCCAATGTACAGGAACCAAGATGGGGGCAACAAGTATGCCCACCCCTAACTCTGCTCTGGCCTGGGATGGTTAATCTTCATTTGATAACTAAATAAATCAGCTACATATTTCATAAACCCATACATCACATCACATCTAAGACACTTAATTAGGCTCTTAACTCATTCACTGCCAATGACGACTAAAGTCGTCATTTGCATTTTTTTTACTGTTTGAGCATCGGAACGAGCCCCCGCGCTGAGAGAACAAACATCTCAGCCCTGAAGCCGATCTTCATCCACATACGTCAGATCACATGATCTGGAAGCAACACATCCATGTGTTAGGAGATCGTTTTGGGCCGTTCCTGTAAAAAAAGTGAGGCGCGAACCGGAAAAGCATCTGCCGATCACAATTCAACAACGGATTATGAAAGAATGGATAACGCTCGAAACACGCGGACTCTTCCTGATGTAAGAGGTGAGTCTCCTCTTTGTTTTGGTTGTTTTGGCATCGACGTCATGCTAGCGCGCAACGTTCTGTGACTCTTAAAAAAACAGTAAAAACGGTGAGAAACGCTGGCAGCGAAGGCCGTTAGTGATCAGGAAACGGCTGGCAGTGAATGAGTTAATAACATCTAAGATCATGTTTCATCATAGTTTATGAACCCATTAATCCCAATATGCTTTGAGCTGAATGGGAAGAAAGCAGGTAAAGAGCAGGAACTCACCTCTTCTCTTATTCTCTTCACAGTTTCTCCTTTCTGTGGAAACACAAAGTTTACATCATGTCATGTGTTCCACGTGGTCAGCAGATCTAAATGCTGAAATAAAACCACATGAGATAGTTTTATAAGGGTGAGATGCTCGGCCATCCGGGAGGGGCCCGGAGTAGACGCCTTGGGAATTCCCCGGAGAAGCTGGCCCAGCTTGGGGAGAGGGAAGTCTGGGCCTCCCTGCTTAGGCTACTGCCCCCGTGACCCGACCTCAGATATGCAGCCGAAAATGGATGGATGGATGGAACAAAATAACAATTGGCCAAACACACGACCCCTGACCTTTTCTGTTAATGAACCCCCAAAGAAACTTACCTTTCCAATAATACTCCCAACTTCCTGTAGAGAGAAGACAAGAGCAACCAATCAGAAATCTTTTCCTGAGTAAATGGGAAGAAGGCACGACTGATTCATGGATGGCAGGTTTTGCTCAGCAGCAACTGGACCTTCATCAGGTGGATATAATTCCGACATTAATTCCTCACCTTGCCATGCATGAGGAGGCGGAGCGTGAGCGTGACCCCCATGGCTCCATCTCCAAATTGTTGATCACAGCTCATGGTGGAGGTGGGGGTGTGATGGATGGAGATGTGCATGGACTCTTCTAGAAGACGCATGAAGGTCCAAAGCCCTGAGGCCAGGGGAGCTGTCCAAAGCACCACAGAGAACCTTCTGACAAACCCAGAGGGGAATGCTTGGAGGTCCTCAGTGCTGTTAACTGGAGGAGCTGGGGATCAGAAAGGGATTTCTCACTTCAGTATCTGTAGAAAAGAATGAGAGAAAGCTGCATGTTAACATACGTGTGACGTAGAGTTCCTGAAGGACTGCAGAAAAATCACCGCCCTAAACCAGGTCAGACTCCAGCGGTTGGTTTGACGCCTGAAACTCAGGTACTCAGGTTTCCTCTCCACTGTCGCTGCATGCTTGCTTAGTATGAGGATTGCTGTAAAGACTCTGACACTAGTCAGTGACTCGATGCAACCTGCTGGGTTCCTTATATAGGAAACCTTTTACTGATTGGCTTAATGACCTGACCTGTATTGGAGTGTTTATTGTATGAAGGTCCTTGAGACGACTCTGGTCCTGATTTGGCGCTATAGAACGGACGCCTCCCTGGTGAGGTTTTCCGGGCATGTCCAACTGGGAGGACACCTAAAGGAAGACCCATGACACGTTGGAGGGACTATGTCTCACGGCCGGTAGGGAACGCCTTAGGAGGAGCTGGCCCAAGTGGCTGGGGAGAGGGAACTCTGGACAAGGAGCCATAGTGTTAAATAATAGTGACCGTGATTTATGCTAGTCCTGTCCCCCTGTAGTCCACCAACACACCTGTTGGGTTTTGCTGTGGAACCGAGTCACCATTTTGTGTCTCCATAACAAACGTGTGACCTCTGGTGAACCCTCTGGTCCCGATCTTTCTGCTCGTAGCCGCTATGAGCTTCCACTGGTGAACCTAAACTTTAAGTGTTCTTGTTGTGAACCACCAGTGTGCTCTACATCAGTCCAACGTCCTTAGCAGCACGGACTCTGGCTCCGTCTGATGTGTGGAAGTAAACATCATTCCTCGAGTGTCAGAAGCTAGTTGGCTAGTCCACGCCATAATTCAAAAGTTAATTGGGAGCTGTGTTTGGAGAGCTTAAGGGGCTTTCGGCCGGTGAAATGCCACTCAGGCATGGAGATACTTAAGCATTTCCTTTCACACCCAACAGACAGAAAACATAAAAAGAGGCTGTTCCTGCATGCTAATGGGCACCGTCAGTGTGAACACGTCTGACGTGTCACCTCATCCACTTTGATCATGTCTCTGTGAGCCTATGTTTTCATGTGTCTGAAAATCTTTCCTCCAGGCATCTGTCACCATGCCAACCAAGATCCTCGGTATAAATACGGCGTGCAGATGAAGAAATGAATGGATGCTGCTTCATATTAAACTGTGTGACTCAATCTGTGCGTGCTGATGAGATTCGTGAGCTGGGAATTGTGTTTCTCCATTAGCAGCGAGTGTCTGAATCTCATAAAAAATACAAAATCGGAACCAAAGTAGGTCAGCGTGCAGTCTTGTACAGGAGGTGTGTGTGTGTGTGTGCGCAAAAATATAAATTATTGAGGAACTTTGTATGCTTCAACACACCTGCCCTCCCCCCTCTGAATCATATGGCCCACACACACACACACACACACACACACACACACACACACACACACACACACACACACACACACACACACACACACACACACACACACACACACACACACACACACACACACACACACACACACACACACACTCACTCACTCTGGACCAGCCATGCACTCGCCCAGCCGACACAAAACTGAACAGAGAAAATAATCCAGACTAAACTGTGAGATTATTTTAGTTTATTACTCATCAGAAGTTTAATCTCTGAGTCTTAGACAAACAAACAGTTAGTAAAACACTTATTAGGAACACCTGAGGGTTGTTCCATGAAGCAAGTTCAGAAAATCTTGAATGAGCGTACCAGTTCACTCCAGGTTTATCAACGGAGCTCAGGTAGATTTAATCCCCAGTGATTCGAGCAAGGCTCTAACGCTCTGAGGAAGGCTACAGAGCAAGTCAAAACTTTTCAAGGTAAAATCAAACCTTTAGCGCACTGTGGGCCAAAAAAAAAAAACCAAATGATGAAGAATGGTAGAGTAGTTATGTTGAAAATGGTTTTGATGGCAGAACATTTTATGAGCCAAACCATCCATAACTCTGCTTCGTTCTGCTCCCTTACCGCCAAAGGAGACAAAAACCAAAACAATCTTCAAATAGGAAGCAGCTGGAGACCAGACAAAGCACTGTGATGGGATGGTTGGACATCACAACGTTTAGATTAGATTTGATCACCAGGTGGGTCTGACTGATTCTGGCCAGCGACATCTCATTTCTGTAACCTGACTGGAATAAACTCAAAGCCAACATCTTGCTCCTTAAAGCTCAGTGGATTAAAACGGCAGACGTATGATTCGAGTCTCATCCATGGAGACGACTGTTGGTAGAAATGTCCCGGTGTTTAGCTGGGTGTGATTTCGTTTCCTGTAATTAAACACAGAATAAAAACTCCATCCGTGGTTTCAGGGAAGCTGAACATTCAGGAGAAGCAAGCTCTGTTTCAGCTCCTCAATGACAACTTCAGTCATATCTTTGACTTTGGATCCAAATGTCTTCGTTAATTAGCCTGAAAGTTCAAGACAAGACAAGACAGGACAGGACAGGACAGGACAGGACAGGACAGGACAGGACAGGACAGGACAGGACAAGACTAAAACATTGAAAGCATGACAATGCCTCTAACGCTTCAGCTGGACGAATGCAAATGTTTCATCGTGTTTCAGACGTGAACAAAAACAAGAATGTTATTGATGGAAACATTGAAACTGATGTGCTAATGGTTGCCAATCATTTCATGACTTTATAGAATCTATCAGGAAACTCGAACTACAAAGTAAATATTCTTTGGATGTAGAATCCTTAAATCTAGTTGTAGATGACCAAAACAAGTTCAAGTTCATCATAATCAGCTACTTATAAAGCACATTTAAAAACAGTGTTTCAGCTGTCCACAGTGCTATACAGGAGGGCCAAAGGCCATAAAAACAGTGGTGGGCCACTCTACAAATGGATGAGGTGAAAATGTATAACAAGTTAGAAGTAAAAAGGGCCCAACATATACGTACAGATCGTAGACAAAAACAAGCACCTAGCAGTAGCTAACACATTTAAAATAAAATCAGTGGACATATTAACTAAACATTATAAAACTTTATTTCGAGATAAAAAGAAGATGAAAACAAGTAAGTCATCGGCTGAGGTGACAGCAGTCAGAGATTAGTGAACGATGCGGGGAGTTTGTTTCAGGGTCAGGCGCAGGAAGCTTGGTTAAAGTAAAACGTTTTTAAGCGTGATTTGAAGTCAACCAGTGAGTCGGCAGCCCGAATGTGAGGTGGTAGGGCATTCCAAAGTTTTGGTGCAACGTGGGAAAAGGCCCGTTCACCACGTGCTTTGTAAAGTGTTGGGAGTAACGCAGAACAAAAGTAATTAATTACTGTAATGCATTGCTTTTTGCTGTAATGTGGTAATGTAAGGCATTACAGGGAAAGAAAATGGTAATATTTACTCGGTACAATTGTCATTAATGCGGTAATTACAATGGATTTTTAAACCCAGAATCAAGATGCGGGTTTCCTAAAAAATCAAATTGCGGGAAGCCTGAAAAAAGATCCAGTATCCACATATATTACATCATTTATGGACTCAGCTTTGCGGCATTCTATGAGCAGAGAGGACGCAGCGGTAATGGCTCAAATGCTCCAGCTGTGTCCTGCGCGCAGCCGCTGTTATATTCACAAAATCGCTCCACAAAAACAAAGTAATTCGTTTGCGATCATTTATATCAGCCCATATACTCTGGTACTTCATGTACTTTTCAGCTGAGTTCATAATCTGTGCCCCGGTGATTTCAACTCTGTGACGACCCTCGTCCCCTCGGTCCTCCTCGTCATCCTTATCTGAGCCTGCTGTCCCCTACCGCCGAGCTTTCAGCACCTGGGACAGTTCCCAGAGCAGCTCACTCTCCCTCCGTGGCAGTCCAGGACCTGGGAGAGAGGCACGCCAAAAAGGCAGCAGCTGATCTGAATCAGCCATCAAGCAGCCCACAGGACTTCAAAAGGGGAGCACAGCAGACAGTCGAGGAGATCCAGAGCTAGTCTGTGATGCTCCTGAGCTCGGTTACGATTTTCTTGCTAAGGTTAATCTGTGGTGTACGCTCGCTTAGGGTTTTCTGTAGGAAATAGGCTTAGTTCCTCATTTGCAGGTTAGCTGACAAAGTGTCAGTTTCTCATTTCGGTGTTTTTGTCCCCATTGGACTTTGAGCCGGGGATTTTTTCTGTTAGGTGGTTGTTATTTAATTCGGCTAATTGCCGTTTTTCGTAAGCAGCTAACCGCTTACGTTTTCAGTTTCCACCTTTTAATCACCGTTCCCTGTTGTAAGCCTTATTTTGCCGTTAGAAATGGACACCCTTTGTTAATAAACCTTTTTGTTTTTACTCTCACCACCTCGTTATTTATCCTCTCACACACACCTCCACCCATTTTTCTGTGTTAGTCCCCTCATGCTCCGCATATTAAGCTTTTTACATTTTATTTATTTTTTGGCGTTCGGTAGATCCCTTTGGCTGATTAGTTAGAAAGTAGGAAATCTAGGAAACAGTTTTTCTGGAAGTCGGAGAAAACATGCAGCATGCAGGAAGGTTAGAGAGAGAAAGGGCAGGAAATTATTCAAATAAAGTCAAGAAAAAAAGAAAAAAGTAGGTAGATTTATCCCCAATAGACATTTTTACCGGTGAAAAGCAACAATATATAAGCATTTAATATTTATACATGCTGGGACGTAATTTTGGGGGGGGGACGGGTGGGACATGTCCCCCCCACTTTTTCAAAAGGCAGTTTTGGTCCCCTGCACTTTTTTCCGTCCAAAAACAATGTTACGCTCCATTAAATGGATTTGGTTGAGCACTAGGACCGAAACGGAAACCGCTTTACTATTAGACCCGCCCAAAAGCTAATCTATTGGCTCTGCTGATACTTGCTAACGTATTATTGGCTGTTGCTGCTGTTACTCAAGTTGTAAACAGTCAGAACGTGCTCACGTTGATTTGCTAGTTTGGAGCCGCTAGGGAACACCGGTACTGAGTCACATCGTCAACTAGACGCTGTGTAATATCAGCTCAGCTC